GGAGAACGTATTACCCCTAAATTCCACCCCAACATAATAATACTCGTACTATTTACCCATAGCCCCTAGGGGTGGTAATTATTGGTTGAAACCTAAAACAAGAACACCCAGACAAGGTAGCTAGCTAGCTACCGCCTCGTACCCAACACCTAAGTTGACCAAAATTGAGACAATATAAGCAAATATGAAGAAGATAAAAAGGTATAAATGGGACCAAATAATAGAAACCAAACGTTACTGTACCCACTTTTTGTTTGTTACCCCGTAGGTAAATTGTTAGGTAAATAATGAACATTTCTGTAATTGCGCAAAAATGCAAATTGGTGTTACACATGTAGACGCTATAATGCATGCATACTTATCTTTTCTGTCCCGATACATTTTGCCTAGCGACTTTGAAGGCATTGTGTTTGTCTTGTGAGAAATTTTGTAGAAAATTTAAATCTAATCTTTAATTTACAAACTAGAAAATTTTAATAATGTTGTTCAAGTTGTACATGTAAATTTAATTTTACTCTTAAAATAGAAATTAGAGTTGATAATAAATTGAGATAGACTAAAAATTAAAGAAAAGATGCAATTTACCTAAATAAGACTAAAACGTAATGACTTTCTCAAAATAGGATCATATGTTTTTATTTTCTCAATGTATGATCACTGGTCATTATTTATTAGTCATTATTCAACTAAATATCCAGCATCACTTGGACATTATTCTTCTAACTAGTCATTATTAAGTCGTATTCAAAAAATAAAAAAGTTTAAGTCTTACATTGAGAAATAACTTATGTTTTAGTTATATTCAGTGTAAATTTCACAAAAGAAAATAGAAATACCATCCAGTACGAGTTATTAAAATGGAAGAAATACAATTAATTATATTATTGAAGAATGAATATTTTCAATAATTAAACGTGTAGGAGTACAACCGTATATATAGACAGGACGAGACTCCTAATACGAGTAGGAAACCTATACAAAAGGTAACTACCAACAATACAATGATATAATAATAAATACATTAAATGTACTTAACATAAATATATATGGTAAATATATTTAACATGCTCCCGGCTACGTCGGCTGTGGTGGAGGACGAATCCCTAAGCTTGTGCGAAAATCCAGGAAGAGGACTGAAGGGAGTCCTTTAGTGAATATATCGGCATACTGAGAGGAGGATGGAACATGAAGTACTCGGATATGCCCCAGTGCGACCTTATCCCGAACAAAGTGAATATCTACCTCAACGTGTTTGGTGCGCTGGTGCTGAACTGGATTGGTGGAGAGGTAGACAGCACTGACATTGTCGCAAAAGACAAGAGTGGCACGCTGCAAGGGATGTCGCAGCTCAAGTAGTAGGTTCCGAATCCAACTGGCCTCGGCGACTGCGTTGGCGACAGCACGATACTCAGCTTCGGCACTGGAACGGGAGGTGGTGGCTTGTCGCTTGGAGGACCAGGAGACTAGATTATCACCGAGGAAGACACAGTAACTGGATGTGGAGCGTCTGGTATCTGGGCAGCCAGCCCAATCTGCATCTGAATAGGCCTGTAGTATGTCCGTCCGAGAGGGGGTGAGTGAGATGCCCATAGTGGCGGTGCCACGGAGGTAG